CCATCCTGATCACTCTCTTCTAAGTAAATTTGTCTGGCAACCCTCCTGGAATTAAATTTTAATTCTTTCAGATTACTAAACATTAAATGATGATCATTTGGGTTTTGTTGTTATTTCCAGATTATATTTTTGTTTGGTTATACGTTTTCTTCTTAGAACTGGGACTGTATAGACTACTAGTTCCTTTTTATCAAATCCACAAGAATACTTAATCCTAGAATGAAAATGACCTGTACATAAGTATTTCAAAAATCATTTCTTTGTAAAAATATTAAAAATAAGTCTTTTGTTATTTGACCATATTATCCTTTTCATATGTTAAACTCATATACTATGCCTTAGAGTATGCTAAGCTCTTTATACATAATCACTTTATTTATGCCTCATAGAAATCTTATGAACAAAATATTATCACCAAGGTTTAGGTAATTGAGACATAGCGAAATAAAATAATTTGTCTATCACAAAGCTTTTAAAAGATGCTCATGGCCACTGTACTATAATGTTTGAACTCTGTTTCCACTAATGCTTTTCGTTGTATTGCCTTTATTGATAATTTTGTTCAACATTCCCATTATGTAAGCAGTCTTTCACTCTTTATTTATGGTGAAAAATTATTGAATTACATAAATTTTTCATTGTATAGCATGTTTTAACATCAAGCAAGTCTTAGGTTTTTTTAAAAAACTGATCAGAAATAATAAAAGGTGATGACTCTGTTGTACTTGAATTTGAGAGAAGAATAGGGAACAATATTTCAAGAAAGTAAACATATCTTTAGTGCAGTTTTTCAAAACTGTTTAGTGTCAGAGGTGCCTCAAAACCACTTCCAGGTTTGATGTTTCACTAGAAAGAGTTACAGGACAGCACATATAGTTGTACTCATGCACATATAGTTGTACTCATGATTAAGATTTATTACAACACAAGAATACAAAGCAAAATCAGCAAAGGAAAAAGGTGCATGGGGACGAAATCTGGAAGAAACGAGGCTCAGGTTTCCAAGAATCCTTTCCTGGTGGAGTCACACACAACATCCTTAATTCCTCCTACAGCACGTTATGTCAAAATGTGCAAAGTGTCGTCTACCAGAGA